TATTATTTTCACTCTTCTGCTTGCTCTAGATGTGATTTTCTCTTTTACTTCTAAGTCTCAAACAGCAACTCAAGAAGATAAAGCAAAGCATCATAACAAAATGTGCAAAGACTTGAAAATAGAGAATTATGAGGAATACATTGAGCATCTCTCAAGATGAGAAAAAAATTATTGAGCATTAGTTGCAATACTTCTGTCTCTGATGAATGATGACTATAGAGTGTGTGTTACCATAAATGCTTTTACTTATAGCATTAATTAGTATGGACAATTTAATCTAGGATATTTCAGTTCAGGTATAGCAGCATATGCTTCTTTTTTAAGTTAAATTAAATTAAAGTTTTAATTTTGAGATAATGATAGATTCACATATAGCTGTTATAAAATATTGGCTGTGTGTACTCTACTAAATTTTCCCCAATACCCCCCAACAGTAATATCTTGCAAAACCACAGAACAATATTTCACGATCAAGACATATAATAAATTAAAAGTATACAGTATTTTTATTGCCACAAAATTCTCTCATAATGGCCCTTTTTTGGGGACTATTTTACAATTCTTTTCATTTTCTGTACCTAGTATTACAATCCAATGGTGAGTCACCATGGGTCAGTTGTGAACAAAAATATTCTTGCTGAATGACCAACCAAGTACGTGAATGAACACATGAATACAAACCTGAAAACCAAGCTTATCACTTAGTAGAGAAAGGACTCTATTGTATAGATGATTCATATCAATATATAAAACATCCAAGGGGAAAAGTCAATTGTAAATTTATAAGAAGTGAATATTTGAATACCACATTTGACCTCATTGAGATGGGAGGTAATCTGAAGGAGCAGATTCTCCAGTTTATTGGTACATAACAGTTTTACATTCGAAAAATCCTAAAACCAATAGTTTATTTCTCTGGCCTTTTCAGTAAATACGCAGAAAACTATTTGTGTTCCTAAAGAGTTGCACTGCTAACCCAAAGGGCACCTCTCTAGCAGTTCAAATCCACCAGTGACTCCATAGGAGAAAGACATTTTCTTCCCAAGACATTTTCAACATCAAAGTCCAATGGAGGGCCAGCTCTGAGTTAGTTCCTATCTGATGGTAATGAGTGCTTTGTTGAGTGTCTAGATTGAATTTATCATTATGAAAATAAATTTCTTTGTGAGTTTTAACATTCCCACAAATATCATGGAAGAAAATCCTCTACTGAGAAGCACTAGAAAGGTTGCCTTTCCTTCAGAATCCTCTTTTCAAAAGTTCTTACTTGTCATTCCTCTTAAATAAGCTACTTAAAGATACTCTAAGCTCTTCTATCACTTCATGATCCCTAATCTTTCTTCTCCCTCTGTTTTTTTATTGAAAATTTTTAATTTATTAATGGTTTTTAAATGCAACATATATATGTATTCTACAGCATATTCTTTCCATTTAATTTTTATTATTAATTTTAATGAAAATTTACAGAGATTTTGGATTTCTACTCATTCATTGTTGCACTTTTCTCCCTTCCCACCCCTTCCCTCCAGTTCAAAAGAAAAATTCTTTCATTGTTATACATCTCTCCCCACAAGTCCACTCTACTATGTAGTCTTTGTTCTGGACTCATGTCATGAAAATAATATCTAATCATATATACATCTTAAACAGTTTTCTCTCTTATCTGTTTCAATGAATTATACATAATTTATCCCGTCTTTCTCAGTCTCCCCCCAGCCCCTATGTCAGACCCGTTTTATTTTTTTTAATGAAAGTTTACAGAGACTTTGGATATCCATTTATACATTGTTGCACATTTTCCTCCTTGCCCAACCCTTTCCTCTTAGTTTGCTTTTCTCCTTGAAAAGAAAAAAAATTCTTTCCTTGTTATACAATCATACTCCCGCCTCCCAAGTCCACTTTACTAGGCAGCTTTTATTCTTATTCTGGACTCATGTCATAAAAAAATAATACATACTCATATATTCCTTTTAAACAGTTCTCTCCCTCATCTGTTTCAATGTAGTATACATTATTTATCCCCTCTTTATTTTGTTGTGGTGCATAATAGCTTTTTTTTTTTAACTAAATTCACTCCTGAACTCTCGGCAAATACTAATCTGTTATCCATTTTGGTCATTCTATCACTTCAAGAATGTTACAGAGAAAAAAAAAAGAATGTTACAGAGATGGAACCATATAATCCATTACATTTCAGGACTGGCTGTTCCACTCATCTTGGATGTGTGTGTATCAATAATTTGTTATTTTTTATTATCAAATGGAAGAATGTGGCATCAGGATTGGGGGAAGACTCATCAACATGAGTAGTGTAGATGATATAATCTTGCTTGCTGAAAGCAAGGGGATCTGAAGTAGTTGTCGCAGAAGATCAACAACTATTGCCTTTAACATGGAGTGCGTCTTAACATCAAGAAAATAAAGATCTTTTCCACTCAGTCAGTGGGCAACATCATGATAGATGGAAAAATGATGTCATTTTGCTTGGATCCACTATCAACACCCTTGGTACTAGCAATCAGGAAACAAGGGAGAAAGAGATGTATTGCTTTGGGCAAGTGTGCTGTCAGGGACCTCTCTAAAATACTGAAGAGCAATGGTGTCAGTTGGAAGACAAAGGCACACCTGATTAAGGCCATAACTTACTATGACCTTGCTATGAATCTGAGAGCTGGACAATGAATAAAGATGACAAAAATATTGATGACTTTGAGTTGTGTTGTTGGAGAACAGTAATTAACAGCCAGCCCTTGGACTGTCAAAAGAACAAACAGGGATGTCTTGAAAAGGTGCGGCTAGAGTGCTCCTTTGGAAGCAAGGATGCTAGGGGCAAGGATTGCAAATCTTTCATCTCTCACACTTTGGACATTTTACTAGGGAGGTTGTTCCTTGGAAAAGGATATCATGCTTGGATGTGCAGAGGGTCAGCAAAAGAGAGGAACACTCCCACTGAGATGGAGTGACACAGTAACAATAGCAATGGGCACAAGTGTCTGACAAGATAGGAGAAGATTCAGATCTGTTGTTCAGAGGGTCACTATGAGTTGCACTGGGCTCGAAGGCACCTAACAACAACAACAACAATAATATTCTGTGGTATGACCAGTTTGTTTAACCATTCACTCAGCAAAATATATTTACATAGTTTTCAGCTATTACAAATAAACACAGTTGTACACATGTTTCTGTAAATAAATCACATTCAACTCTTAGCCTAATTCTCTGGCTGTTTAACTACAGAGGGAATAAAGTCGAGATATGTGTTGAAGGTAATTGGCTACTTTCTTCTAACTGAAGATCAACTAGTGACTTGTTTTCCTTATGAAGTCTCCAACTCTCTGAACCACAGCAGACAGGTACATATTTTTCAAACTGCATTCTTTCAATTCTGAAATACAAATCCTATAAAATATTCCCTTTAAAAAAGAATTCCAAGCTTCAACACCTAAAACAAGTTGAGAAAATCTTAAGTGCTATATTATGGCTAAAATTGAAGAGAATGGGAATTTCCGAACACTTGAGGACTAAGGTGCACCTCATTCATACCATGATCTTTTCAGTTACTTGCTATGCCTCTGAGAACTGCTTAAGAGTGACAGAAAAAGAATTGATGCTTTTGAGCTGCAGTGTTGGAGAAGAGTGCTGAAGATCCCATGGCCTGCCAAAAAAAAATGTCTTGGAGAAGGTGCATCCAGGGTGCTCCTTGGAGGCAAAGATGGGGAAGCTTCATCTCATATATTTTGGTGTTTCTAGGAGAGGCTATTCTTTGGAGAGGGACATTATACTTAAAAAGGTGCAGGGATGATAAAGGAAGACGAAGACCCTCAACTAAGTGGACTGACACTGACTACAGCAATGGGCTTGTGTGTGTTAGAGATTGTAAGGAAGGGACAGGACAGGACAGCATTCAGGTCTGTTGTGAATAGGGTCTCTATGAGTTGTACTCAACAGCAGCTAACAACAATAACATAATCCTATTTTGAAATTAAAAAAAAAAACACACTTTGGTTTACAAAAGGAGAAACTCAGTATTTAGTTGCACAGGTCAAAAATCTCAGGTCCATAGAAGAATAATCTTCAGTACGACACTTAAATTTTCTATCCCTTGGGCAGACTCTTCATCTATAAAATATAGATAACCAGGGTACTGAGCTCATACAAACGAAACTTTAAGTATATACAGAGAGCACTTGATAACTTTTAGTTATTATTATTGCCATTGTTAATAAGTTACTATCAAAATCCTCATAATCACAATTTTGTTAAAAATACACATTTCCGGGTCTCACTTCTGAAGACTAAATCTTCAGTTGAGACTAGTCTATTTGAAAGAGTAGAGTCATCTACATTAAGGTGGACTCATAGGGAGCTCTGGTGGCCTAGTTGTAAGAAACTGTTCTGTAATCCCAAAGGCATATGGTTCAAATCTATCAATTGCTCCATGGAAAAAGGATGGGCAATCTCCTTCTGTGTGATTCAATGTCTCTGAAAACCATTCAGAGGGTCAGCTGTGGGACATTTCTGACTCAACAGCACACAAGAAAAAGGACAGATAAAAAAGTAGAGATTCATCTACAATAAGAACTTGTCCAAGAGTGTAATACTGGAGGCAAGATTTAAACTCAGACTAAAGGGCCTTATCAATCACCTTATGTCCACTCTGCCATCCTGCAAAAAGAGCACAATTATCTTCTGAACCAAGGATTGGGCTTGTAATATCATTAAGTCATGACTCCTTAGAGAGCAGTTCAAGAAAATAAAATGAAGTTCTGTACAGATGGACTTGATAAACACCAGCTTTCAAAAAAATTCTTACATTGTAGCAGCTAGCATTTCTGTTATTGTTATTAGATAAAATTTTTATTTGTCAATCATCATTTAACAAATCAAATCTGAAAATAAGACATTATTCCTTTTGAAATACAAGAAGACTACTATGATTGTTATTTCTATAGATACTACCATCAATCTGCTAATATCCAAAAATGATCTTGTCAAGTTCAGGGCAAATTTCCAGGACACCTGAAGATTCATTCTGGAAGAGGAGGCAATCTTCTCACCACTTCTTCAGCAATCTTCAAGTAAGCTTTAGCCTAGAAAAGAACAGACCCATACTAATTGTCATGTTTCTTCTATCCGGAAATGAATGGCTCATGAAGATTCTGTTTGAAATAGTTGTCCACTGAATTTGACAGTTTAAAAGGCACTGTTTTACATCACTTTTATAATTATCTTTTTAAATGATCTTATTATATACCACAATGTTGAGCTATCATAATTTATTAAAACATTACCCTAATATTGAAAAAAAAAAGGCTGAATGAGATGTGGAAATTCTATAGCAAGAAGACACTAGTATCAGCATTATAGTTGGGGAGAGAAAGGAGAGGAGATATTTCAGGAAAATTACTTAAAAGGTGACTTTCTGAAAATATTTAGTTTCTGTTTTTTCCAAAACTCTAATCTTATGTCCGTAGATTAGCAGCTCATTCTAGCTATAGAAAAATGATGGTTTTTTTTTCAGCTGAGAAATTGATACCCTGAGGAAGATACTGCCAAAACATCTTTAGTATAGAGCTGTTAGTCATTTTAAGGAAGTCTATTTATTACCACCTTAATGCTTATCTTTGGAAATCATTTTCATTTTCCCTGAGAAAGTTTTGTGGTACCAGCACTGAGCATCTATAGGCTGGTTCTTTCAACTGATAATTTTGGTTACTATTCAAGAATTACTGGGTTCACTTGCTACAGTTTTCAGCTCTGGGGCCCTAGTGCAGTACAATGGAGAGAAGCTTCCAACTCTGGGGAGAGGGCAAAAATAACCTGGTACTACCACATGCAAGTTAGAATATTTGTCATGACATTTGTGGTTCAACAGTTGTTTAAAACAACTACAATCTAAATATTACTTATTTTGCCAATTTTATACATAAATTGTAGCTGTTAAATAAGAGTAAGATTTTCTAAAATCATTAATTTATACATTCATAAAATAATAATGAATAAATCCACATTTGTTCCCATTCTCAAGAAAGGTGATCCAAAAGAATGTGGAAAACACTGAAAAGTATTGATATCATATGCAAAAAAAAATCTTGTTGAAGATAATCCAAAAAATGGCTAAAACAGTATATTAACAGAAATCTGCCAGAAATTCAAGCTGGATTTAGAAGAGGCTATAGCACTAGGGATATCACTGGTGATGTCAGATTGATTTTGGCTAAAAGTAGAAAATGATGTCTATTTGTATTTTATTGAATATGCAAAGGCATTTGACTGTGTGGATCACAACAAATTATAGGCAAATATTGAGAAGAATGGGAATCCCAGAGCACTTAAATATTCTCATTTGAGACATATACTTAGACCAAAAGGCAGTTGTCTAAATAGAGTAAGGGAACATGACATGGTTTAAAATCAAGAAAGGATTGTGACAGGGCTGTATTCTTTCTCTCTACCTATTCAATCTATATGCTGAGTAAATGATTCAAGAAATTGGACTCTGAAAAAGAATGTGGCATCAGGATCAGAGAAAGACTCATGAGCAATCTCTGTTATGCAGATGACATAAAGCAGCTTGCTGAAAGTGAGGAGGATTTGGAGTATTTGATACAGAAGATCAAAGACTACAGCTTTCAATATAGATTACATCTCAATATAAAGAAAATGAAAATCCTTGCCATTGGACAATAGGTATTATGAGAGGTTGAGAACAGGTTAAAGTTATTAATTATTTAATCTTACATGGATCCACAATCAATACCCTTAGCACCAGGAGTCAATAAATCAAAAGACAAATTACACTGGGAAAATCTGTTGTAAGAGACCTCTCCAAAATTCTGAAGAACAAAGGTACCCATTGAAAACTAAAGTGTGCCCGATACAAACTATGGTCTTTTTGATTACTTGTTGCATTTGAAAATTGAACAATGACTATGGATAACAGAAAAAGAACTGACGCCTTTAAGTTGTAGTATTGGAGGAGAGTATTGAATATCCATGGACTGCTAAAAGAATAAGTATGCCTTGGAGAAAGTGTGCCCAACGTGTGCTTCTTGAAGGTAAGGAAAGGGAAACTTCATCTCATGTACTTTGGGCACATTGTCAGGAGGGGCCAGTCCTTAGAAAAAGATGTAATGCTTGGAAAGATGGATGGTCAGTGTAGGAGAGGAAGACCCTCAACAAGATGGACTAATACAGTGACTGTAACAAAGGGCTCAACTGTATTGGAGATGGTGAGAACAGCACAAAGTAAGGACAGATTCAGAGCTGTTGTTCACAGGGATGCTACAAGTTGCAGTTGACCTCATGGCACATAACAACAACAACAACAGATGGTCTGGTAGCATGTGTGTTATGTGTTGCATTGCTGATCAGAAGGTCAGTGATTCAAATCCATTAGCTGTGCAACAGAAGAAAGATAGACAATCTTCTCCTGTACAGGTTACAGCCTTGAAAATCCAGTGGACAGTAGGCAGTGGGTTGTAGGTTAAGGTTCATACTGTGACTGGTAATGTAGTTTATAACCAATTGGGCTACTAAACAAAAGGACAACTGTTGAAATCCACCAACTGCTCCATGGACTAAGATGAGGCAGCCTCTTCTCATAAAGATAGAGAGCCTCCAAAATACAAGGTGGAAGATCTTTATAAATGGGAATTGACTCATGGACAGTGAGTAAATATGAGCTAAAATTTACTGTATACATAATAGTTGTCAAATGTTATTTCTTCTATCTTTACAGCTACTTTGCAGGATAAATTCTTTTACAACCAGTCTCTTTAAAGATGAAAAACCACAACTAAAAAGAAAAGATACTCTTGTCCCAAATAATAAGAGCTAAACTGGGCATTGAACCTGGCTTGGTAAACTCCAGAATCTGTATTAAAAATGGGTTGTCGGAGGTCTGTTTGACAACATACTTGAGAAAGTATTTCAACAGTGTTTCATACATTCTTTATTTTAACAGACAATTTTTAAACTGTTAGGAGGGAGCTCTGGTGGTCTGGTGCAAAGGGAATTGTGATGCTAGCAGAAAGGTGGTTGGTTCAAATCTATAGAAGAAAGATACACAATCTCCTCCTCCCTTGTGATTTACAGTCTTTGAAGAAGCACTTGAGGGTAGCTATGAGTAGGTTTATAATGTGTGTGTGTGTGTGTGTGTGTGTGTGTGTGTG